AATTATGACTCGGATGAAGCTATGGAGAATAACAAGGTCGATGAGATTGTCAAGAATGGAGGCAACGGTTCCATTACAAACAGCACTGTCACCAGCGTGAGTCTGTGAGAGAGGAGAGGAGAGGAGAGGAGAGGAGAGGAGCCGATTCGTCCAAGTTAACCCAGATCTAATGGGAGACACTACTAATGGAGTTGAAGAAGATTCGCACGCTTCAGTACCTCACACGATTCGGAGGACACGTGGCACGTCCTCCGAATGTGCGAACTGTGCCTGGACAGAAGCCGAACTCATATATAGTAGTAGTTGGTTGTTGGCTTGGAGGCCACATGATGGAGGACCGAGCGACCCTGATTATATATAATTCTTCAACTCTACCAAACTAAATATGGTCTATAAAAGCAGAAAATGATTGTAAGATTTGCTTGAATAAGTTAGACATATCTAATTAACCCCGTCACAAACAAGCATATTATAGAAATCAAAATTGCATGGACAACATGTATAAAATAAGAATCAATTTAACTTTTTTCTACAGAATTGGAGATAGGGACTGATGAAGTTTTGGGAGGATGTTTGGCTGGGGGGTGTTGCCTTTAAGGATAAATACCCTAGAATCTGTTCTCTCTCTAACTTGCAAAATAAATCAATCACTTCCATAGCCATCCCATAAAGATAATTTTCTTGGAGCTTTGGTTCTCAATGAAAGTTTAAGGGATACAGAAATTTCTTGGAACTTTGGTTCACAAGTGATATAAGTCATATTTTATTGATTAAAACATACTCAACTTCAGGTGGTTTGTGGTTTATCTGGCATTCCATAAGAAATTAAAGTAGTCCTTTCAATAATTTGCATGTCACAGAGATTCTTGGAAATATTTATGATTACCAATAGTGCTTGGAGAAAACTGTACCTGTACAGTTTTTGTATGAAGGTGCTAAGAAGGTTTCTCTTTGTGTGGTTGACCTAGGGCACATGACAAGAAGAAAAGTTCAGATGGAATGCCTAAGAAACAGATAAGAATCTTCTGATTAGTGCCAGTAAGAGGTACTATGTATGGAGAAAAGAAAAGACAATAACAAGTTACCAGAAAATGCATTATAGCTTTTGGCACAAAATCTTGAATCTTCTTCCTGACAATATCATAGTAAGATCTCAAAAGCAATTTAATCACTATTATTTCCAATTCCTGTTGCTCCGTATGAACTCCTGAAAGTCTTAAGAGGGCTGGGGGCTGAAACAACATAAGCAAGTAGAAAATTTAGTGTTTCACAACAAAGAAAATATATCAACTCAGACATGAACTAAGCAATACCTATGAATTAAGCCATTACCTCTCTCAATTGGACTGTTGTAGGTAAATGCACAACATCATGCATGGGTTCACCAAAGGATTTACTAGATGAGCTACCTCCAGAGGATATACGGGACTCACTACCACCGAATAATGATGAAATGCCCGAAGTCCTTCCAGTTGAATTACCTTCAAATAGCAGCTAGTGAGATTCCAAGCTCCAAATACTTGCATTTTCAACTTCCTGTCAGATTTTTTTTTTCAAGTTGCTTTCCATAATAGAAGTTCCTTGCACAGAAGCATAGAATGTAAGAAACAACATTGTATTCATGTGCCACACATTTGGTGCAGCATCATCAGAGAGAATTCAAGATCACCAAAAAGTTCTTCCTCAGATAAGGGTTTGGACCTCAAAAGGCTCCTTAAAATTCAACAACCTATTTCAAATGTGTCCACAACATCCACCCATGACCTATCTTTCAAAGTCAAAGTTGTAATGATATTTCATTTTTCTACGACTGTATGAGAAGTTTGGCTTTGGTTATCCTTTAATCCATTTTATATGCTACTTATATCTTTATATAACCATTCATTCCTTGACCTCTTTACAATGTTGTCTGGACACCCTGTCTTTGGAGGGTTCTTGCAATCAATGTGTGTTCATGAGTTGACTTGTTTCCGCTTCTCCAAAAAAATGTGTTGGGCTCAGCTAAGTGCAAATCAGGTGGATTTACCAATCAGCTAAGTGCAAATCAGGTGGATTTACCAAAATGTCTGCAGTATTAACTCTTCAAAATTATGAATCCTCAGTTTAAATGCCTGTGTAATAGTAGAGTTGGACAAGGTATGCCCTCAATATACAAGTTGCATGACCTTTAAAGAAAAATTAGAGTTTACATTATGTAATTACTTGTGTTGTGGGTAAGCATTCTGTGATATATCATGGGCTATATTTTATGATGATGCTAGGCTACTAGTTCAGCACTGTTAGAAATATAGGCAGCAGGAGATACCTGTCATTAGTTTTCTTAATCAAGGGCACTCTTGTAATTCTGGTCTTTATTATATAACAAACAATTTGGGCGTCAGTTGATTGAAGAGAGAACTCTCCTGTTTTTCTGGTCAACCCACTTGATTTATTGGTTCACCTGAAATCATACCAGGTTACTTTCATGGTATCAGAGCATATTTGATACCTGGTTCAATCTTAGGTATTTCCTCTACTCTGCACCTAGAGTTCTCAGCCTCTACACATGGGAGAAAAATTTTCTGGGTTGCTGTGACTGATCAGACCAGTGCTTAGAGGCTTCTATGCCTCAGTTTGCAGCAGATGGTGAGATTCAAGTGGTGCTTTAGGCCCCCTCTACTTGGCAGTTCAAAGAGGGAGAAGTTAATATGTCAAGTGAGAATTTCTTAGGTTATTGGTGATGGGATTGAGTGTTCAGGCTGGATTCAGAATTCTGGGTTGGGAAGCTTAATTGATTTTCTTGAGATCGGCAACCCTTGAATGAGAAGTTGTATGTTTCAAGTGACTGGTGGTGCTATGAATCTAGAAAACTAGCAACAAATGATGAGTGATCGATAACAAGTGGTGATTCGGTTTTTGTATGTTTCCTGAATTGTGAGAGGTGGACAGCACTAGATAGTTGGTGGCAAAGCTATTGTGAAGCTGTGGTGTTTGCAGAAAGTCCTAGCAGTGTTTGCGCTATGAAATATGCTGTTTTTATGTTACAGTGATGAGCTTATAGTAACCTGTGTGTGGTTACAGTTTTGATTTTTGCCTACAAGGTATTTGTTCAGTGTTAGGATGGTCAGCAAGTTGCAATCATTTGATTGGCTGATTGGTTCTTGAGATCAACAATCAGATTCATTGAGTTTCTTTGGACCAGCCATTCTTGAATGATATGATCTCTGTTTTGTGCATTCATATGGAGTTTGGGAGGTAGATTGCTGAAATATCATAAGTGTGTTTGGTATTGTGAGAAGAAAACCAGTCTGTGAGAGTGTGCAACGACTAGAAAATTTGTTTCTTATGGCTCTTTCTAGTAGCGAGAACAAATCTAGGTTGCTAATAAACCCAGATTTTGTGGCTGTTGCTAGAGGAGGTTGTGCTGGTAGAGGAATATGTGGAAGAGGCTCTGATCATGGTGGTGGGAGAGATGAAGTGCTAGGGATGGTAGCAGAAGTGGTGGTGGCCATGGGCAGGTGTGTGAATGCAACCAATGTGGCCATGAAGGACATATTGTTAGTTTCTGTCATGACTTGTATGGCCACCAACCACTTGGGATAATCAGGTTGCAGTTGGTGTTGCAGTTGGTAATTATCACATGTGAGGAGTATGAAAAGCTTCGTCTTTCTTCTTCTTCTTCCAGTACTACTTGCCACCCTTGCTAAGTCTGGTATAGATGGTCTAGTTTCTTTTTCTAAATCTACACCTTGGATAATAGAATCTGGAGCTTCAAACCATATGATTGGATCTTCAGATTTATTTATGTCCTTGTCTCCTTCTCATACGCCATAGAATGTCACCTTGGCTGATGGTACTACTTTATCACTGGTACTGGTAATGTGTCTCTTGATTCTAATGTCACTTTTATCTTCCATGTTATATGTACCCAAATTCCCCTTTAGTTTTTTCCCTGCGAGTAAACTGACTAAATCTCTTAATTGATTGGTCACCTTTTATCCTTCTTATTGTGTCTTTCACAGGGTTTAAAATGTCAGTGTCAGTGGAAATGTAAATCATCCAAATATAGGAAACATGTTAGTGTTGAAAATATTTTAAAAATTACAGACAATGGTGGAAACATTGTGAAATATGCAAAACTATAGAATTGAATTTTACAAAATGATAAAAGAAGCGTAGACACACCTTTTTAAATTATTATATTGTTCTAAATCATTAAACGAAGCTCAGAAACTAAGATTGTAGACAAAATAATATGTTGTGAAGTTGTCCTATAAGCGTCAAGAGTCAAAACTGCATGATAGAATGAGTTCAAGAAAAGCTTAAACTCATTGAAAATGCAAATGATTCTAAGATCTACCAAATAATCTTGTAAGTGTGGTGGTGAGGCAATGTGGGATGGTCTCCTTGAAAGACGAAGATGGGATTGGTCTTGAGTTAAGGTTGTAGGTAGGCTTAGTCTTCTGGGGAAGAGGAGGTCAAAGGATTTCGGTCGATGATTCTCAGAATTCTGTGTCTTGCGGTTTGTCTCCTCTCCCTTTTATAGAGAGGATCCCAAGGCTGTAAAGAGAAGAGTCCAAAAGAAGACATTTCCTATTAGGAAAGGGGATGTTTGTCCTTATGTTGGCTATCAAGGGAGCACCATTGGGGTTTTGCCACGTGTCCAGCGAGATCCTCCAGAAATAAATTTTCCTTTTTCCTGAGGATTCTTGCATAGTACGTGTTGGTTACATCCCTTTATGGGTTCTCTCTTAAAAGGCTTTCCTGTTTCTCCATACCCTCCACCGTAGACATCATTTATAAGAACCACCATCTGGATTGCCCTTACCATCCAAGCATCCAGGACCCACCTAAGTAGCAAGAGGAATTACCCTCACCCATAAGAGATCGCCACATTTTCTACCTTGGTAGAGGAATCTCTTAACATCTCTACTAACAGCATCATCCTCCTTCCAACCCCATAGGCCCAAAGTGAAGGGTGGCACCAGTTTCTTCCTTGCACAAAATTCATCTACTGCACATTTGAAATCCTCTTTCCATCAGAATCTTGATGATAGTGGAAGAAGCATGTTCAAGAATGATACCATGTTCAAAATACATGATGAAAAGTATTGAGTTCTTTTATTTATAAATAACACAAAATAAATTTCTTTTACATATATATGTATAAATATACTTATATGTATATAAACATAATTTTACATGTACGGTAAATTAGTTTTTTCTAAAATTAAAACATATAAAACAATATATCTCTAATCAATTGGTTCTTGTACTACATTTCTTTGACTGTATTTTTATTCTTGGAGTCAAACTATACATGATTTTTTTTTCCAATATCCCAAATGGTTGTCTATCCCTTCTATTTTTCACTTTGGTGCATATCATTCCCAAGAATTTACAAGGATGTGGACTGCCATTCTTTGTTTTTATTTTTCTTCTTTTTAGAGTGGTCAAATTTATTGAAGAATTCAAAGATCATAATCTGGATGATTCTGATAAAAGCTAGGAAAAGGTTACTTGTTAATTGTTATATATGTAAACTTTCTTGTAAGGCAACTTCTTACCTATTAAGTTCTCATAAAATTTCATCTGTGTGAAGCATCCAGATAAAAGTACTTAGTCAAAAAGCAAAAAAGAAAAAAAAATCATGATTTGATCAGTTAATATTAAGAAACATTAAGTTTCCTGGGAGGAAGAAGTATGAATTGAACGCTAATTGGTAATAGTATGCTTACCAGATGATGGAGGTTTGTCATTATTTAATTGAGGCCGACTTCCCTGTAATAAGCCAACAATCAAGTAGTTAAAAGAAACTTCCATTAACTTTTAAGGAAGATGCAAGGACAAAAGTAGTTGAATTTTTCAAAATCTCAGAAAAAAGGCATTTCGAACACATGTTTAATTAGCAATCTTCGTTCCTAATTAATAACAAGGAACAAAGATGAAATGGGATCATTAACATACCATTAACAATTAACATCCTAAAATTTTAACTGAATATTTTGTCTATAGAATTGATTTCGACTTGATCTTGATTTGTATTGACTAGTGTGTGTTCTTGATTTTAGAAGCAAATAGAGAGGCATGAAAGAGGAAGAAAAAGAATTTGAGAGGAGAAAAGAAGATGACCTCACATCATCATTTCTTTAAGCATATGAAGAGAATGACATGGAAAATTATAATAATGCCTTTATGTGATTATGTATAATCAGATCTATAGTAAAAACATGGATTATTTCCAATATCTCAACAGCCCCCGTCAAGTTGGAGGATGAATATTTCCCATGAACATTCTCCAGCTGAGTTTTGCTCATAGCCATGGTCAACGCATCAGTCAACAGTTCACCTGTCTCCACAAAGGATAGATAAATTTCTTTGGGAGTTTCGCATGAACATTCTAGCTATATATTGATGTCAACTTTCTTATCACAATATAAGTTCATTCCACCCATTACAAGATGACTAAGTTCAAACAAAATGGTTTTCAACCACAATAGTCTAATGCACCAAGGCTCTATCTGAGATTTTCAACTTGATCTTGATACCATAGACTGCTGCTTATTTCTCCGAGTAACTAGATTGCCACCAACAATGGGTGGACTTCCTATTTAAAACAAATTTAGCCTAGTCAGCATCAATATAAATCCCCATTTTCATTTGACCATTATTATACAAACAGGAGCCCCTTTCTCTGTGACCCTTTTAAGTAGCCAAGTATATGATTTAAAGCATTGAGATGACTAACACAAGGAGATTGTATGAATTGGCTAATGACTCTAGTAGCATGTTCAATGTTAAGTTTGGTGATAGACGAGTAAATAAATTTACACACTAGTCTCTAAAACATCCCTACAACTTCAATCTTGTCACCACTAATATCATCAGGTTCCAAACTAGGCTCCATTGAAGTAAAAAATAGCTTGGAAACTAAGGCCTCGTTTGGTATCGTTCCTCAAGAATTTTCCTGCATTCCTCGTGTTTTTCTGAAATGGAAATATGTTAGGATGGATAAAATAGCAAGAAATGTTCTGTTCTGGGAACGAAACAAGCATCCGAGAACATGTTTTTAAGAAATGATGATATCTTCATTTCAAAAAAGCTTCCAAAGAACTGTGTGTTCAACATCGTTATTTTAAATTTACAAACACATATGCCTTGTTTTCACATGGGAAAAGGGGAAACATGGTAATTTTGCAACATAAAGACGTCGGACACCTCTTCCATTGCCGCACTATCACTCCCTTTCATCGTCTTCTTCATTTCTTCTGTAAATCATTCTGAAAACCCCAACTCCATATCATCTTGTGCACATGAGGAGCTCAGGAAGAATGATTTTCCAATCAGGCTGCTGCCAATAAATGTCTTATCTTGACGGTGTGGCCGGCTAGGGATAAGAGGAAGAGAAGAGAAGAGAAGAGAAGAAGAAGAGAAGAGAAGAAAGGAGAGAAGAGAGAAGGTTTTGCAATGTAATAGTACTGGTGGCGCCAGTCTTTATTTTACTATATATAGGGCGACAAAAATAACAAGGGAAAAGACCCTCGTGCCCCTGAGTACAGTAACAGACATAACAGAAATAAAAAACGAAATAGAAAAACACTTTAATTAGCCAAACAGGCCCTAACATCTGCAACTAA